GAGGGAATCGATATCCCCTATTCATGGCACATCGAGCACCTTAAACGTTTCTATCCTTGAAACGCTCCAGATATATACGCTTCACTCCATAATGAATGAAGTTTTTGTCGCCTTAATTTGTCTCCATTATTTCTCCACTCCAGTTTAATCTCCATTTACGATTACCAGCTCCAAGCTACTCTTAACAAGCTCCGACAATTATACGTGATCTCCATAAATGCTTCGTCCTATTTCTCCATACTAAAATATCTTTAAGATATTCCGCCAACCATCAAGCAGCACACGTTCCGCTCTGTGTTCTTTGGGAAAAACCCTGTCTCCGATCTCTCCCTACACATGCTACGGGCTCCAACGCTCAACGTTATGGGTGGTCGGTTGTGGCTCAGTCACATCTGTTCCTTCTACACGTGCACGGGCTCTAGCGCTCGACGTTATGGAATACGGGCTAGCCAAGGCCAAGAGCCCAGTAACGAACTAACTGCTTGGACGCTACTTATACAACGTATAAACGCGTTAGGGTTAACAACACGTCTCTTTTTCACCGCAAGCGCTAGTAAGCCGCCTGAACACGCACATGTCGTCTACTTACAACATTTATACAAATACACGCACATGTTTGCTTAGGCCCTCGTGCATTTAACTCCCCTTTCCAGTTGTCCCATATAGGTTCCTATCCACTCAGGTTATTGAGCTTGGCCCTCACCGTCTACCTCGCTGAACAGATCGACATCGTCGGCCAACCTCTTCGCCGTGTCCTCCACCTCATCTTTTAGCTCCTGCTTCGTCGCACCCATCTCTCTGGCGAATCCGGCCCCTATCGCTCGAAGATTGATGGCAGGATAGTGAGACCGGACCACCGCCAGGGCATGTGTCATGACGGAGACAACGACGTCTCGGTTGAAGCCTTTGAAGTTCTCCCACGCCGCCTTGCACCTGTCAATGACGGCGTCCGGACAGGGCAGCCTGTCGTCGGGTTGAGCTACCTCCATGTCGATACAATCGAGCACCGGCCTGACTCCGGCCACCACGGCGTCAAGTTTTCCCCTCTAGATTTTTGCCTCCAGCTGTACATCGAACTGCGCTTTGGTTCTTCGACGGTATTTTGTAGACACCAAAGGGCTCCGTTGAACGAACAAATCATTTCAGCAACAACTCCGATCACGAACTACTCACCTTCCAGATCCTCGGCCAGTTTCTCCGCTCGCCCAGACGCCTCTTCCTTCTCCTCTTGGAGTTGACCGACGACTTGACGCAACCAGTTGAGCTCTGCATCTCGCTATACAAACGTAACGATCGACAACAACATCAAGATTGTTCGGCAATGCAGTCTGGCCTGAAGGATTCAGATCCTCCGCGCGCCCCGTTCTGCATTAGATTAGCTCATCGATCACCGCAACTATAAAAATCGGATAGCTACCGATCCCAAGGCAAAGATACTTACACATCAGTTTCCCGATAAACGGTTCTGAACCGGCGTTGCCTCCCCGAGCACCTAGGCACTGCTCTGGGGTCAACCCGCGTGTCCTGGGCTGGAGGTCTTGTGGCCCCCGCCGTCGGTGTCTCCTCCGCCTGCTGCTCGGGGACTCCTTCCCCTCCCTTCGATTGCACCTCCGCGCGCGTGTTGCGCGATGACGCTTTAGTGCTCGGAGGGGGAGCTACTGGAGCCCCGTCATCGTCCGACCACTCGGATATCGCCGCATTCTGCGTCCGAGCGGTCTGACCGTTGCCAAATGAGATGTTGACCGGCTTGCAGGGAGCTACATCCGTTGTTCTTCTCTTCTTTCGGGCCGGCTCATCTTTTGCCGCCCTTTTCCCCCGAGCTTTCTCCGATACCGGGGGGGGACTCTCCTTCTAACTAGCACCTTCGCCTCCGGATTCGGACGAGGTGCTGACGGCACCTTCCTCCGGTTGAGTGGTCGGCCTGGTGTTCACTGCCTTCGGCCAATCGCTCGTCGGCACGCCCGAGAAGTACGCCGCCCGTTCCTGCCAATGAATCTTTCAACAAGCGAATCAGTCCACTGCTCAGCGTCGGCATGGGATAAAAAGCACCAGTAACAACAGTTGAGATTTTTTCCTGAGGAGGTGGGTTCGTGCAGTTGAAGGGTTTCGGCTACCCCGGCACGGTGTACGACACGTTTGGAGCGAATAGTTCAGCGGCCCGGTGTAGCACAGCCTCCTTCGCCAGGTTCTCCGTCCTCTCTCGGGTGCCGTCAGTATCTCCTTTCAAGTCAAAACCCGGATGAGCCCTCTCCTTCCAGGGCTGGACGCGGCGCAGTATGAAGTTCACCGCCACCACCACTATGCTCATCTTCATGCCCCTTATTAGCTTGAGGAGCTCCTTCACCTGTTCCATATCGGCACTGGTCGGTTTCTCCGACCAGCTCCTTTGATTCTCCGGAATCTGGTCGACATCGCATCGGATGGCATGATCACTTTGCTTCATATAGAACCACCTGTTATTCCACCCCTTCAGCGAGGTATTCAGTGGCACATGAATGTATTCGCCCGCCATCCCGTCGCGGAGCTGTAGATACACACCGCCGACAACTTTAGAACCGTCCCCCCCTTTCTTCTTCAGCCAGAAAAAGTGTCGAAAGAGATTGAAATGGGGAAGAATGCCAAGATACACCTCGCAAAAGTGGATAAACACAGAAATGTGCAAAATAGTGTTCGGATGAAGATTACACAAGCTCACTCCCCAATACTCCAACAGATCCTGCAAGAAAGGATGTACAGGAAGCCCTAATCTACGCCAGAAATAATCTTCGAATATAACGATTTCGTCGGTGTGTGGCATCGGATAAGGCTCACCGTCGGCCGGACACCATCTGGCGGTGACACGGTCAGGAAGAACGTCTGCCTCCACAATCTCGTTGAGCTCTGTCTCCTCCATGAGTGACGGTATCCATTCCTTGTCACGGCTCATCCCGGCGGCCGCCTTCTTCGCATTACCACCTCCCCTCTTCGGCGCCATCCCTCAGATCTTGAGTGCGTGTGAATGCGAATGGGGGAGCGCGAGGCAAGGAGGAAGACGAAGTGGCGGAGTGGCAAAGGTGAGAGCGCGGAGTGCGGCGACGTAGTTATAAAGACACCCAACCTACTTTTCGCATTCAAGGGTTTTTGGAAAACCGCACCATGCTGATTTGTGTCCTCCCAAATTCCCCAAAGCGGCGTGGTGGGCCGTTATCTGGACTTCCGCGCAGCTGCGGTCCATATCGCCCATTTTTCGACGCAACTTGGTACTGCACACCGATTATTCGCCGACCACTCCGCAATACCATCAAGGCTCAGTAATTTCTACTGTACAGTCATTACTCCGGCTTTTTCTCCACGATTCTTGATTTATCCGAGATTTTCACTTGTGGCTCGGGGACTACGTCATCATTATGATTCGATTTCTCACCATACTGGGGACTTTTGTTTCTGACCCTGACATCACGTGACCACGTCACCTACTGTCAGGCTCGGGGACTAAGTGGGCACACTTCACCTTGCGGTGAGTGTGTTTTCTTTAATCTAGAAGACTTCGTGCCCTCTGAAGTTGAAGAAGATTATCTCTCTTTCTCGTGGTCGTCACTTGGTCCACTGCGAGGAAATTTTTGATTTTGAACTTGAGCTCCTTACATCCTTCTGGCAAGCCTTACTTGGGTAAGCCCGTGCTCGGCCGGACAGTTAAGCTGGTCGGTTACGGTCCACAACTGCTCGGCGACTCATTAGGGTGGTCGGACCATGAGTCTGACTGCTCGGCTTTGTTTACACCTGCTCGGATAAGCTCAAGACGACGTTGCACAGTGGATGCAAGGCACTTGGGGACTAGCTGTGGGGGGTACGACCCCGGATACCCACGGCAGACTACATGGGCTGCGCCGCCAGGGGTGGTCAAGTCCACAAGACGAAGACTTACGGTGCACGGTACTGCTCGGCGTGTACCGCAAGACATCAAGGGCGATATCCTGAAGATGCTACGAGATCTGTTAGGATATGTTCGATCCCATGATTCCTATAATCTGTTATTATTTACCGGTTATCTCCTAGATCTAACCGACTTGTAACCCTATCCCCCGGCTATATAAGGCGGGTAGGTGACCCCCTCAAAACACACGCAATATCATACGATAGCCAATACAAACCAACAGACCACAGGAGTAGGGTATTACGTCGTGCAGACGGCCCGAACCTGTCTAACTCTTGTGTCTCTGTTGCCTTCTTGTTCTTGATTACGCGCACCACTGCCGATCAATCTACCTTCGTGGGATACCCCTCGGAGGACTGCCGACGATATTCCGTCAACACTGAACTATTTAGTCTGTAATTGAACTGCAGTTTCCCCCTCCCCTCTTGACTTATTTCAATATTGCAGATACTTTTTGATATGGATTAAGGAAACTTACCAATCCTTCTATCACCATCTTGGTTTGCCTTTGCAGATCCTGAGCTATCTGGATGATAGGTGCAGAGTTCACAAGGACACAATTGATCTCTGCCAGAGTGTCTTACAATGCAAGTCCCTTGACTGGATTTCTGTGCAGCGCAATGATTTGTGTCAGCCAATACGTGATGTGGATCTTGTAATTGCTGTCGGTGGCGATGGCACCCTTCTCCGGGCTAGCCATTTTTTGGATAGCTCAGTTCCTATATTGGGTGTTAATTCAGATCCTACTTGTACTAAGGAGGTCAGTTGTTTATCCTTTTCTAACTCAGAAGTCTCATAGCTTGAAACCAGTGAGGTACAATATTCATATCATAACCAGTATGTTATTAGCTGGTTGTTTACTTGTGAGCAGACTGGCCTTTATATTTGTGCCTCATCAGGTCTTGTTATAATTCTGTAGCTCATAATAGCCTCATGCAGGTTGACGAGCTAACTGATGAATTTGATGCAAGGAGGAGCACAGGGTATCTTTGTGCAGCTACTGCAGGAAACTTTGAACAGGTTATTTTATCTGCAAGATGTTCTCACTTTATTATTTGTTTCAAGGACATTGGACTAAAATCCATGCTCATTCTACTTCTTTGTAGAATTGTATCATTAATTGATTTTTATATGATCTCAAATTCCATTTCGACTGAACTTGCCATACTCCCAGATACTTGATGCAACGCTTGATGGCAGTAGGCGCCCTTTGGAGCTGTCAAGGATATCGGTGAAACTAAATGGAATTCAGCTGCCGACTTATGCTCTGAATGATATATTGGTGTCACACCCTTGTCCAGCAAGTGTGTCACGCTTCTCATTTAGGTATTTTGTCTGAGTTTCCTTATAAATTCATTTTCCTTTCAAATGTGATCAATTCTGATTAGTATTGCCATCTCAGGAAAAGGAACAATATGGGAGAGAACTCGCGTTTAATTAATTGTAGATCAAGTGGTCTGAGGGTCTCAACAGCTGCTGGATCAACTGCTGCCATGCTATCAGCTGGAGGATTTATGATGCCATTATCAAGCTGTGAGCTTCAGTATATGATAAGGGAGCCGATTTCTCCAACGGATGCCGACAAACCAATGCTCCATGATTTTCTAAAGCAAGAGCAACACATGCTTGTTGTATGGTACAATCAAGAGGGTGCTGTTTATGTTGATGGTTCACATGTAGTGCATTCAATTCAGCATGGGGACTCACTTGAGATATCCTCAGATGCTCCGACCTTAAAAGTTGTTTTGCCAGAACATTTGCTAAAGAAGGCACCTGAATAGTGAAATAACAATGTTTTTGTGATGTTCCTTATCAATTTAATATGATATAGGAGTTATTTGGTGCTTAAGCGGTATCAATTCATGTTCATGTAGTGACTGACAGTTAAATGCTATCAGATGAAGCATTAATGACAAATTTGTGAGGTTTTATTTGTAAATAAAAGCAAAAGAAGGGTCAGCAGAGACAATAGGGACCTTCCAGTGCTGTACCATGGTCAGCATTTTATAGTCCCATTGAATTTGAAGCGGATGCTACTAAAATGCTTATGACTTACAGGATTAGACATTAGTACGCTACTTGGTATTTGCATTGCACTGTTGATACTTGATACAGATGTTCTGGTCTACCCCTGGTAGTTCGTACTTTATGTACACTTTGAGTCATGGTGCACTACATCTGACTCACCAATGGTCTCAGGTCATTATTTATATCTATGGTTGATGATTCATTAGTGTAATTGCAGAAAGCTTGTTCTGTCAGTCTCTGACGCTCACTTAGTTTTTGCCGGAGGTTCCTCCATAAACCACCTGTGCTCAGGCAATTCTGAGCAAGACTCAGATCTGACAGCAAGGGCTGAAGAGGCGTGTGGCCCTCAAGCAGGCTAACAACTTTTGACATCTTTGGTCTCAGTGTAGGTGCTGCGGTTGTGCATAGCAAGGCAACATTTAGCATGATGAGTGCCTCTTCTGTTGAGTAATTCGATCCTAGGTCTGGATCTACCAATTCCAGGAGAGCTCCTCTGTCATGCAGGACACAAGCCTGGAACACATTTAGGACATGCAGTTAGCTTACTATCTCAAGGTATGCCCATGAAGATTCAATATAATCCATTTTCATTGTCTACTTCCCTTGTCTACATGAAAAAAATGTTATTTTGACACGCTAGAGGTAAAAATCCAGTTAATGCTGTGGGAATGTAAGAATCTATTCCTTTTGTAAGGGACAATGATGCAAGAACTAAATGTAGAGATTTTGTTCCTTTTGACACATAGCTTGGTCATGGGATTTACCAAATGTGAATGTTTAAACAATAAGGTTATCTTAAATGTGCATTCATATGGGATGCAGGATTGAGCTAATGTTACTGTTCAAATGATAAGGTAATATAAAATGCGCTTCCATATGAAATATCCTAGTGTTGAACAAAAACTGATCATTTTCTAGCAATATGGGCAACCCATATTTGTAGCAGAAACAATTATCTGCAGTCCATAAATGCTTGGTGTGTAAGGTGATGATATAGCAAGCCCTCCATCCAACATGGTCCAAACTGCTGTTTACGAATGGATAAAGATTCAGGAGTTACCCAATCTAGAAGATGAACAAAATCTTCCGTTGGCCTGTAGTTTGTGTTACTTTTTCCACTGACAATTTCCAAAGCAACAACACCAAAACTGTATACATCAGCTTTATCTGTCAAATAACCATGCATAGCATACTCAGGAGCCATGTATCCGCTGCATGAACACAGAATGATCAAGTCAGCTGTAAGTTCTGCAGTTTACATTTACTAAAAAGTGAGCAGAAACGTAATTTCATCAGTTGTTCAAATAGGAACTGATTAACAACATTAAGAGTCTTAATTCAATACCACTGTCAATATGCTGTTAGTTGCATCTTTTTTTTGTTTATGTTTATATGCAGGAATGGCAAGTTGGCAACCCCCCAGATTAAAAAAAAAAAGGAATGGCATCCCCCATATGTACATGGTTTCTTTCCTGACTCAGTGACTCTTAGCCAATGAATTCTGTTTTCTCTGGGTTCCCACTGTTTATCCTTAGGTTGCTTGCAAGGTTCATTGTTACCATTGCTACAGATGCCTTCCCTTCTAGAGCTTCTTATCTATAGCCTTGTATTGTAGGTCAATCAGATGTGTGGATGTGATTGTATGTTTCAACAAAAAAAAGGAGTGTGGAAGTTAAACACTTACATAGTTCCAGCTACTTTTGTGCTTATGTGGGTGTGATCATCTTCATTAAGCTTTGCTAGCCCAAAATCTGAGATCTTGGCATTCAAATTTTTGTCAAGCAATATATTGCTGGCCTTGATATCGCGGTGTACGATCCTTATTGTGGACTCCTCATGTAGATATGCTAGACCTTTTGCTATCCCAAGGCAAATCCTATGTCTTGTTGCCCAATCCAATCTGAGTCTGTATTGATCAACTGGACCCAGCAGTAACAGCCCATGAAAGTCTGTGAATTCTAACATGTAGCATATAAGACTAAAAAGGGGGTAAACCAGGAAACATGAGAGTACAATTACCAAAAAGAGCTCGTGCAAGGCAATTATTTTCCAGATACTCATAAACTAACAACAGCTGGTTTCCTTCTGTACAGCAGCCATAGAGTTTGACAAGGTTTTGATGCTGTAGTGCAGATATCATCCCTATCTCATTCACGAATTCTCGATTCCCTTGTTTAGACCTTGCTGATAACTGCTTGACAGCAATGACAGTGCCATCGGACAATAAACCCTGTCAAACCAGCAATGGCAATGTTCCTGTATAAGTTGTGCTTTGGCAGTATTAACTTATTTATAGTTTATGCATGGAAAGTAATGCTGACTGACCTTGTAAACTGAACCAAAACCACCTTCACCAATCTTGTTAGCCAGGTCAAAGTTCCTAGTTGCCACTTTGATTTGTCGCAAGGTGAAGGAGCCAGTTTGCAGGTCAAGGGCTCGGAGATCTATAGAAAGGGTTTATATGTGGTCATTAACATATATACTAAGATATGGTTTCTTTGCTGCCCACATAAATATGGAAAGCTTTACTTCCTGATTTAACTACTTTGTTGCCAAGTAACCAAAAATTGAGATATATCTACCTGTTTATTACACAACACAAAATTTGAGATGAGTTTACTATAGTACCTTTATTCTTTGAACTCTTTCTCCTCTTCTTAATACGATAAATGCATACAACCAGAACAGTCAAAATTGCTATTATAGAAATTCCAATCACCAAAGCATCGGATATAGATGCCCGTGAAATCTTATTGCTACTGCCAGTTTCGGGAGGTTCAAGAATAAAATCTGAACATGCTCAAAAAAGATCCAAACATCCAGGTCAGTAAGGAAAATAACAGTTTTGTTTCAAAAGTATAATTTGCACAGCTAAATGCTTCCTTGCCCATAACAGTTACTGGAAAACAAAATTGACAAGTTTAAGAGTCAGGACACACTTGGTGTTATTGATATTGCAGATATCAGTGGGCCATAAGAACCTCTATATGGAATGCCTGTTGTCCCTCTTCCTGCCCAATACAACTGAATTTCTAGAGTATGATTTGTGATATATGTTTGAGAAGTCTTGATAACTGGCTTTCCAACTGCACTGGATGACTGCTCGATATCAAAATTCTCTAGCACCATTCTTCCCTGAAGTTAAAGGGCCTATTGTTAGCATCAGTGCTAACAAAGGGAAATGTTTTATTAGTAAGAAAACAGGTAAAAAAAACTAGTTTACCTGTATGAACACATTGAATCTTCTTTTGCCAAGGCTACAAAATGTGCTGTCATTTGTGAACACAATTTCAGCAAAGTGGAGTTTAACTGTGTAGCTCCCACTGAACATACAAAGCCCATAATATGTGAGGGAAAGAGGAGAAAGACGGGCTTTGGTGTACAACTCTGAATAGGGCATGTCCAATTTTGATGTGCTTGTTGCAATGTAGCTGTCATCAGTGATGTTGTCGTCCATGAAGTTACCAGTGCTGCTGAATGCCCAATTTGAACCTGGGCTTACATACAGCAATGAAGCACCTTTTGGCGTCGTGTCAGCTTCGTATTTAACTCCATTAATAGTTGTTTCTTTGTCACCACAATTGATATGCAATGAAGATCGATCTGTGAAAAATTGTAGGTAAATGTTCCATGTAGCTTCAGTGCTAAAACAAGAAGAAAACTAACTATGAACTGAGCTTTTTATGTAGACTAAAATTAATGTACCTTTGTGTAAGCAGCCAGAAATTCAATGACTGATTTTAATAGGTGTATTTATTTTGAGTTTACCATTTGGAGTTTATATAATCCTACAAGCAATGGCAATTGTAACTTATCCAAACATCATTAGTCGTTATCAATGCTACCCTTGTCACAGTTATCGGTATCCATGTGAAATTCATGTAAACAAATCATTTTCTTCTCTGTTTATCTATACGAATGCATTATGGTATACCAATGCTTCAGAAATAACTGTGAAGCAACACTAAGCATCAACTTACATTGTCCATTCGAAGCAACACATGGGAAATTCCTCTTCAAGCATGACTGAACACTACTTCTGCACATAAGGTAAAAGCGACCAGTGTTCGAGCATTTTATTTCATCTAGACAGGTCCATTGCTATAAAGTTTCTAGTTGTATTGAAGCAACAAGCTAAAGAATCTTACAAACTGTTCATGTCAGATGAATAGCTCTCCACTAGATTGCTGCAGTCGAAGGATTCAAAGGAAAGGGTAATGTATTTTCATAAGGGTACCAAATAGCAAGAAGATTGGATATAGCTAAAGGTTTCTTACACACTCCCTGGAAGGCATTGGTTAGGACCTGAACTCCCCATCGTGAAGTTATTGAAAGATATGTCTCTGCATATGATCGTTTTCTGTTATTTTTTCTACTGTGCTAATTGAAAGTTTTTTTTTCTCGAACGACGCAGGAGAGCTGCTTGTCATTTCATTAAGAAGAAGAAAAAGGCAGCTACAAGGGAGAGGTCAAAGACCAATCCAGAACCCCCCCACCAGAATGTTACAAAGGGAGGGTCGAGAGACCAATCCCAAAATCTCACACAGCACCAAAACTAAAAGAAAAAAAAATGCTAATTGAAAGTATGACTTGTAAGTTCAATAATAACAGTTATATTGTTGAAACTCTTAGTTACATGTACATATGGGTATCGGGCAATTCTTCTCTATGCCCTAGTTAAACAAGGGTGGACATAAGAAGTAAAACTCAAACTGACTCAGGCTATTTCTATTATCACAATTATGGATGCTTTTAAGAAACTAGGAATTTTTTTTATCAATTTTCTACAATCATGTATGAAGGCCGGTAATTGGGCATTGTATTAACACACCAACATCTTAGAATGTTGAAGCCGTCCTTTCTTAACTTTAATGCTAATATTAAAATGCCCAAGAAAAGAAAGACATGTGCCATATTTTAATGGATATATGTGGGTCTCAGGGTTTGTTGGAAATAGACCCCCAAAAAATAGCGAGCAAAATAGATAATAACTTACACGATTTTGTTTCTTCTTAATAACCATCCAGGTATGTCCCCAGTGAGTGAGTTTGCAGTTAGATATCTGCAGGACAATTTTGGTAGAGGCACATGTAAGGAAGGAGCACAATGAAATGTCATGTAAGAGTTCAGTTTATGCAAAACACCACAACTTACATGTAATCAACCCTTCCCATGTTAGCAAAAGAAGCTGGTATTTGTCCGCTCAATTTATTAAAGCTCAGATCCCTGCATAGACAATGTCGATAGTAAAATATGTGACTTTTTTAAAAAGGGTACTTAGTAAGTTGCCATTTATTACAGATGCTTCAGAGTTGTCCATGTGCCAATATAAGGCGGGATGCTTCCACTGATGGAACAGTTCCTTAGTACCCTACAAGTGATTAATTTTGTAGCATATGACAGCCAGCATACGGAAAGCTTGAACTTCAGTAAACCACGAACTTACAATTTGTTCAAGGATGACATTCCACTTAAATCAGGGAAAGGTGAACCACTACCTCTCAGATCACTAATCCTCCTGTTTTACAGAGAAACAGAGCCATTTACTTAGGACTTGTACGGGTTGTGCAAACTTATACATAGTAAGAAAATATAATTATGTCATTATGTGTGAAGTTATAAGAGTTTTCAGCATTGTGCTGGCATACAGATCATGAAGGTTTGTCAATTTAGATAGGCTGGGGGGAATAGGGCCTTCCAACAAAGATCCTTCGATTTGCCTGCACCAAGAGGTGTTACACTAAATAAAAAAAAGATATTGATCTGTGGTATTTTCTGTTGGTAGTTATCATCGTGAATTCACTGGCTCACAATGTTTGGAGCCTTGCCAATTTTTCCCAAAAATCAGGCAGCCTTCCAGATAAATTGTTGCTAGAAATCCTCCTGTAACCAGTCCCAATAGTTCAAAAGGACTTCCCAAAGTGAAACAGAGTGGGAAAAAGGAAAGATGAAGGTATCCTTACAAATCAGTTAAATTTGTCAACAAGGATAGAGTTGGTGGTAGGGATCCAGTGAACTCATTGGCTGATATTACTCTGAATTTCAGGATCAGTGCACAAGCCGTCAGAAAGCAAAAATTACATCCACAAACTCTACCGATGAGTATACCTTCCTTAGTGCTGTATGAATCATCAAATACACTCACAGCCTCTCCAGATGCGTAAGATGTCCAATTTCAGGAGGGATTGGCCCATAGAAACCATTGCCTTCAATGTCCCTGCAAATTAATTTACCAGTCAGAACTTGGAAAGTAAACTGATTAAGTAAACTAGTTAACAACACCAGACTTTTCACTTACAGGTGAGTCAGGGTTGTGATATTTGTGAGAACCATGGGAAAAGGCCCTGACAATCTGTTTCCCATCAGTAATCTGCATGGATTTTGCACCAACAGATCAACAGAAATGTTGTGCAATTCTGTTGTACATTATGAAACACACATAAGTCTGATCTATATTATACTCAGCAATGTATTGCTTTTTCGAGAAGTACTGTAAGTATGGCGTCCCGAAGCCTCTCAGAGGAACTGGGAAGGTTAGTATGGGACTCTGCTTGTGCAGCTACATCTTGATTGATAGTTACATGCAATTATTAAATAAGACTTGTATATTTACTACTGCTGTATTGCAATCTTATTATGCACATGCAATTCATTTTTGTTTAAAATATACTCCACCCAGTCATGAATACATCACATTTTGGACAAACAAATTAATTAATAAACATGCTAAATGTAGCCTTTTTTCCTTTGTCCACAACATCCTAGGCCCTACACCACAGATAAGATCACAAGACAACAATGACACTGGCTTTTACAAATGGCAGGAAAATTAGCACCCAGTTGGACGAATATTTTTCCTCCCCTGAGGCTCCATGGTAGCTCCACATGCTAGCAGTAGCACATCATTTTGTTTCTACTACCACTCTACCATGCAGTAACCAGTGTAGGAAATTAAGAATGGGCCGGGGTAATTAAGGAAAGTGCAAGGGCACTCACAGTCCTTGTAACTTCATCCGGGCCCACTGGCTGGGCACTCCACCATGAAACAAGCTCCGGCTTAGATCTCTGAAACATGAAAAAAAAATACAAGGACTTATGTTTTTTTTTTTTTGCTATTATTTATTCTCTTAACAGATAGGAGCAGTAATGTTTTGTGGCACATGTTGAAGGTGCGTTGTTTACATGTGGAGAAGATAGGGGAGGTCGGCAAAGTCCGGTGGGAGCTCGCCGGAGAAGTTGTGCCTCCTGAGGTCTCTGCAAAACCAATGGATACAGTACTTACATTGCCTGATGATTCAGCGAAGTTAAAGTACGTACCGTTGTATACATGACAACACACACAGCCTTATTATATATATATAGATAGATAGATAGAAATAAGAAAACAAAACTAAACCACGCATGCACGCATACATACACGTGAATGACATGGCAGACTGTATAGTTGGAGTCGGAGAAGGTGCAGTGGCAGTCCACTCCGGGGGCAGGGTCTTCGCACGGACCGGCGGCGGCGAAGTCCCAGTGCAGCACGCCGAGCTTGGCAGCGATCCGGCGAAGGACACGCTCTGCGAAAAATCAGTTGAGTTCAAGAGGAAGGGGGACCGTACCAATCGCGCAGGCGCAATGCGGTGGTGAGTGGTGACTCATGGTGAGCAAGAGCCAACAGAAGGAGGCACGCACCTTCAGGTGGGAAGAGGGTAGGAGTGGGAGCTGGAGCAGGTGCCTGCTGCTCAGCCGCCCCTGCGCCATGGGCGGCGGCGTCCTCGGTGAGCAGCAAGCACAAGAGGCACACCAAGAAGAACAGCCTGCCACACGGGCACGGGGGCGGTCTCCACGCCATTTCTCTGTGCCTAAACTCTGTGTCCCTCTCCTCTGATCTCTCTTCCAGCAATGCCAGTGGCCGGAGAGTCTAGTTAGTTGGCTTCGGAAGGACAGAGAGGGAGAAGTACATATCGTTGGGCGTTATCCGGCATGTGTATTGTTGAGTAGTAGTAGCAGTACTTGTGTGCATTGCGTCGTCAGTGCAAGTGCGCTGCTGCAGCATGTATGCAACCTTCCTGAATCGTTCCAGTACGTTTCGGAGCCGTAAAGACCCAGTCAAGCATGCATCAGAGGAGGAGAAGAAGAACGCGTAAGAATAGTCATATCTCTGGCCGGTTTCGGATGCAGCAGTAATCTAGTGCTGCTGGCTTGCTTTTTGTGGGCAGCTCTGCACTTGTTATGAATATATTAATTTATCCTTTTTGTGGTGACCTGCTGGCTGGCTGCTTTCTCTCTTTCTTTGGTAAAATGTTCTCCAAACCCATGCATACTGGAAGTATTCTTCTTCTTCATGGTTTAGTTACTTGCGCACAACTTACGGAGGTCAGTCGTGTTTGTCTCCAAAATTTCCACGGCGTTAACCGGATCGATCGGAGAAAAGTGGCTACCGGCTGCCGGGTGATTGGAATGAGTCTCGTATCATCCAAACAATTCCAAAGCGCCGACACCAACACGATGCATGTATTTCAACGACTGCAAGAGTCATGAGTTCTGCCGTGTGAACGCTCGATTTCACTCAGAAAACTGACATCGGTGAAGGCGTAATGTATTCTTCCTTGCTGACCCAAACTGCATGCTTTAAATCCGGTCTTTGCATTGGCTGCTGCTCTACTTAGTACCCGGTCCAAATCAGCCGGATCGGAGTGCCGGACGTTTGACTAGATGGCCGTGTACGGTCGGACCCATATATATGCGGTAGGCTCCCTCGGTCAAGGCCATGCATCATTCAATCAAAAAGAAAAAGAAAAGAAAAGAAAAGGCCATGCATCATGCACAGCTGCACACGTCCGTCCCTGTCTTCACTCTTCATGCATGTGCTGATGCCGCCAAATGTCTGTCCGAATTTTCTCTCGATCGCCTCTCACATGTTGTCGTGGTTGTTGACCTTAAGTCAACTCTAACGATGACCTTCAGTCAAATGCATAGAACATGACTGCAAGTACACTTTACTGCACGCGATTTAGAACTAATTTTATTTCTACTCATTCTACATCGCATTTGTGTCCCATAACGTGCAGCGGCCCAGAAAGTGTTCAACTTCAACAAAACCGGTGAAACAAAAAAATATTTTTTTCTTTGTCCAATCTGAACTTTTCCAAAAAAAAAACAACATTTTTTTTTACAAAAACGTGTTAAACAATCCATTTATCTTTCCAATAATCTCCTATAATGAACATTTGGCTTCACTAAATTGGTACTTCAAATATGTTAGTTAGTAGGCACTAACGATGTTGAAATACTAGTTAGTGTCGAGTTATTATGTTATAGAATAAGAGAGAGCGAGAAACATGAGGATTCAATTCAATCAGGCGTCTAATTAAAGCTTACTTGATGTAGTATTTGTAAATTAAATTTGCATATCAATCTACCCTACACTCCTATAGCTATATACCACCCCCTCCCTCACAGATCACTGTTTTACCAACAGTACCCTTTTCACAAAACACTGTTACTAGAACTTATAGCTATATACCACCCCCTCCCTCACAGATCACTGTTTACCAAAAGTACCCTCTCATAAAAACTATGCCACCAGAACAGTACGGATCCTGTGAATAGTACCGCCTGATGTAAACAGTAACGAATCCTGTGAACAGGTCCCCCGGCCGATATTAACAGCAATTACCTGTTTGCAACAGTGTTGCCCCATAAACAACAGTGCATATCCGTTAACAACGGAACGTACCCTGTTAACCATTAACGCCCTTTAATCCGTTTGCAACAATATAAACCCGTTTCCAAAAAGCACTTACCCGTTAACAACAGTACATACCCTTCAAACATTAGCAACCTTTTAATAATATAAGCGGTACTCCACTGCTGTACCAACCCATGCTCCCTCTTCGTTTCAATACAGTACCCCGACTACTGCAGAGAATGATTTTTCCCTTTTCTTCTCCCTTTTCCTACTGCTCTCTTCTTTCCATGCTACGTACTGCTCTCTTTTTAACTTACTTTTGTTTTTTCGCTACTTTTGCTCTCTTCCTTTTCAATGCTACGCACTCCCAAACAGCTAATGTTTTTTTATACTAGGTTAGACCATTTCTTTCCTAAAAAAGATAATTCTTTTACATATCAAAGCTGGCCAATTCATTTTGTGCCAAACATTGAACAATACATTCTCTGCACATATTTCTCACTATTATCGCCCGCGGCACCGCGCGGGGCCCTAGCTAGTTATCGAGGTTCATGTTGAATTCTTCACCACTTGGTCTCTTTTTCCAGTTTTTGTCCTTTGCAAGTCTATACTCTTTTTTTAATCATACTATAGATCGATGCGGACACTCACAAACATAAAGTAAACACTCATTCCTAACAACGCACGCGCATATAACCTACCTTTATATATGAGCATATACATAGGACAGTGTCAATGGATCTCGATATTATTAAAGCCATCACGATTTCCTCGCTATCGATGGGCATGCCGTCTCTCCAACCGAGATAAGAAGAAGAAGAAGCAAAAATGCAAAGTTTTATATTCTATATCGTGCTAATCTATAAATAGGCAAAGCTTTATTTGATCCGTGCTTATAGGAGTTAAAATTGTGCACATCTAGCCACAGTAAGAGTTCTATTCCAAGACATATTGAAACAAATGGTACAAGCTATATGTTTCGTGCAACACACAACCATATCTGCTAATTTACACTAAAATCAACTATAAAGAATTTGAGCTTCCTTCAATGGACCATAACTTAATCAATTTAGCTATATTAGTAATTCAACTGTTTCACAGTAGCTTGTGCATGCCTCCAAGCCAACATTTCTTCACTGAAGTTCGGGCGTGGAAAACATTGATTGATCCAAGAGAAGTCACATGTTACGCTCCTGGTTAAAAGCTCAGGCCCCGTTCGCTTCGTTGAAAAAACAAACCGAAACACTGTTCCGGCTGATTTGTTGTGAGAGAAAAACATTGTTCCGGATGAAAAAAAACAAGCTGAAAAGTACGGATTATAACACAAGCGAACATGGCTTCTGGCTAATTTAATTTTTATGCCAATGCATAACTGGATCCGTCACATGTTTGCAAGAGACACAAGCCAAGTGCGTGGTGCACACGCTTGTCACAAGGGAGTGCACAAACGGTGAAACATGTGTGAGCACCTCATGGAAAAAATTCGAGCCTTGTGCCACTGCACCAGGGAAAATATACGTGGCTTCACCCTTGTTCAAGGGTATTCAGTTGAATTACCTATTATTTTTGCCAAAAAGATTTTATATGCATAGTGTATACATGCATGTATATAAGAAAAAAAAAAGAAAATAAAGCCAAAATACCTTAGTATCCAAAAATTCAGTCCAAAAACATATTCTGCTTGCTTTCGTCCTCCCTACCGACAACCCAACAAGGCCCACTGGCCTATAATCTTTGGCAGCTAGCGTGAAGTGGCCAGGTCCCAATCAGTATTTCCCGTAGTGGCGCCGTCGCATTCGCTCGACCTCGATCTCTTCTCTTCTCTCATTCCCATTTTAAACTGTCAGCATTACTTATAGTAATTTATTGATTTTAAACTGACTTAATTTTTAGGTCTCAAATAGCCTGTTCGCTGGTTGGTTTCTGGGCTAATAAGCCCAGCTAATGCTGGTTTGTTGTGAGAGAAAAATATTAAAACCAACAAACGAACAGGCTGACAGAGAGAATGAAGAGTGGTACTACAAATTTGAGGGCTTTTTTTTTAAAGAGTTATTGCAAAGAAGAGGAACACAAGCACTTCTATAAGTTATAAACAATTTAAGTTAGGGAAAACTATGTTTTGCCCCTATTTAGAAGTTTAATTATGATTTTATCACTTTTTTTTCCAAATTTGAGACATTCTCCTCCCTTCTCCTCGTGTGAAACCGACGCCTAACTTAAGGTATTTGGGATGGCCGGAAAGGCAAGGAATATGTAAGCACGACGGGAGGTCTCAAATCCACAACCATGAAAGAGCAAAGGTGGTTTGTTTAACCCTTGTTAGTTTTGTGTTTTTTTTGTCAAAGTGAATTAGTGACGGCTTCAAGTCAGATAAGCTAACTACATATTACTTTTTGTGATTTGTAGGCCAAATCACGGGGATTTAAAACTAATTGTTAGAGTTCATGATAATGGGCCAAAGTCAGGGCCAACATGCAAAACTTTACCAGCTAAAGTTGTTGACACACATAGCTTTGGGTTGCTGCATTTTGTTGATTTCATAGCTGAGCATTGCATGTGGGGTTCTAAGCAATACATTACTGTGTGGCGTGATCAGTCAACAGATTTAGGCATGCATTTGAGCATGCGGTTAACTTGGAACTAAAGACATGTACTTGTAGGGATTGACAAGTGACTGGAAAGTTTTGCAGCCATGCTCTAGCTTTCATTGCAAAGACTGTGAGGTACAAATGGATGACTTTGTCCATGAGTACTCCTCTAACCATTGCTTTTATTTTGAAATTATGTTTCTCTTCTTTTTTAGTGCAAGTGCAAGTGCTACCGGGAGGGGGAGGATGAGGGGAAGGGGAAGAGAGTCAGAAGAGAACAACAATGACCCATTGTAAGTCATAGTTGTATTGATGCTCACTTCTACTTATTTCTTGAACTAATCAACCAGCTTTAATTTATTTGAATACTTTTCGGGCCAACTCTATCGAAAATGGAAAGGGGAAGAGGAAAAGGTAGAGGGAGAGGACGAAGAGGATGATGAATAGGAGGAACAACAAAGCTAGCTTGTTAGGTCTCTAGGTGGTCCTTGAATGAGATGCGTGCAGGGCAGATTTTTAGTTTTTGTTGATATGGTGCAGACTTGTAGCTTTTGTTGACATGGTGCAGACTGT